TCTGGTCCTTTTCCTGCTTGCGAACATACCGTGATCCGGAGTGCGTCGTTATCGTTTCCGTCGGTTTTTTAAATATTCAATTAAATTCTTATCGGCACCGTATTTACAAGCGTTTCTTTGGTCGAATCGTGTCTACATAAGTGTCAGTGTCAGTGTTAGTATCAGTGTCACGATGGAATGTCGGAGCAGCCGGGAGTAAAATGCAAGGTCGCAGAAGCGAGTGGAGATGCATCGTGTATTTTCAGGTATGTTGAATTATTTGTTACACAGTACATTTCCGTTTCTGACGGGCGCTTGAGGAACCCACCGAAAATAAGGAGATACTGAAATTCAGGTCGGTTTCATAGTTCGTCGTTGTTTAATAAATAATTATTTATTTTGTGGGTCTCTGATTATTCGTTAATTTTTGTCTATTTTACACAACGAGAAATAACGATCGATATAATCAAATAAAGCTCCATGAATACGAATCTATCATTTATTAGATTCTCAATTAAATATCGTGAGTAATTTACAACTGTAAACCAACTTAGAGATCTAATGGAAGTTTCGCGGATGTTGATTTTGGCGTCTGATTATGTTTCTCAAGTTGCGAGTTCTGTCTTGTTAATATCTATCTTGCGCTTCTGTTTATTATCGTTATGATACTGAGTCCGTATTTAAGTTTCTATTAGCGCATAGCATTGTTGGCCAAACAATCGTTGTCTTTTCCTTTACAACTCGTTGCTCTTCATTATTTTGGAATTTTTGGATTATACAGATATTCTCAACGTCGATAAAAAGAACAATAGATGGATTATGAATAAAGACAGCGCGTAACATTTTATTCTCTTATTTACTCATTAATCATTTAATATTAAGGTGACCAGATTTCCCAGCCCTGAATTCGAGATACTTCATAAATGTGTGAAGCGGGGGGGAGGGGGGAGGGGGCGGGGAAAGAAGGATAAAAAGATCCGAAAATTATTTGACAATCATTGAAAATGATGACAAATCGGTGTCCCGAATATCACTCAAAAAATTTGGGACAAAGGATGAAAAATCGGAACGTTTGGTCATTTTAGCTGTATGTGTCGAGAAGGGAGAAGGTTACTCCGTAATAATGTATTTACGATATGTCCTGACAACCGCACGTAGTTGTTTTCATCACTCTAATACTTATTTCTATAGGAGACTCACAGGATACAAGCGAAAGACGTATAGAATACAGAGCGTTGTGTCCATGGCAGTTACTCGGTATGAAAAGATCGCAGACGCGCGCGCTGTCAATCACGTACACCAAAAGTTAGCGCGCCGAAAATGCTAAAAGTGCATGAATGTGAACGCGACAGTAGGTTTGTTCGAGTTGCTTGTACTATTCACACTTTTACATCTAATGCCCGTTGCACACTAGTGCATCCAAAACAACACAAATTTTCCAAAATACGTTCTGAAGACGCTTTTAGGACGCAGGAACGTCATCAGAATACTTTTGAAGGAGTGAGCTGTCTGAAAATAGCTAATATCTAATAAGTTTATTCACATTAATTGAACTTTTTACATCTTCACATTTAGTGCACATTAATTCTTTAGAGGTTCTAAAAATGACGTCATGATTTCCGTTCGTGTTACGAGTGTAAATGCAATTCTGATACACTTTTTACACTTGGCCCCGAGCACGAGTGAAAAGTGTACAGAATTGTATTTACACTCGTAACATGAACGGAAAACATGATGTCATTTTTAGAATCTCTAAAGAATTAATGCGTACTAAGTGAAAGTGTAAAAAGTTCAATTAATACGAATAAACTTGTTGGATAGCTATTTTCAGACAGCTCACACCTTCAAAGGACGTCCTAAAAATATTCTGATGACGTCCCTCCGTTTTAAAAGTATCTTCAGAACGTATTTTGGAAAATTTGTGTTGTTTGGGGTGCATTAGTGTGCAACGGACATTAGGTGTAAAAGTATAAATAGTACAAGCAACTCGAACAAACCTAGTGATGCGAATGAAGGCCAAATCACACTAGCGATTGGCAATTGACGAATGACAATTAAAGATTAGATTTTCGAATCAACAAGCTTCAGCCTTGGCTTGCTTTGTTCCAATTGGTTAAGTTCCAATCTTCAATCGTCAATCATCTATCGCCAATTGTTAGTGTGATTTGGCCTTGAGGTTGCACGTCAACAATGACGCAATCTGTATGGCGGACGCTTTAACCACTTGCTCGAGTTACTAACCACTCTAGACCAATCGCGTTCGTTTCGCACTACGAGGTTGTCATCGTGGTTATTCAATCTAGGCGTTGGTAATGAATCGCGCGAAGTACTCGATCTTTTCGCGCCAAGCAGCAGCCATGGGCATACATCGATCCACATCACTCCGCGTTTCTCGTGTCTTTTATAGTGTCGAAAGTGAATCTCACGCGTTAATAAGTCTCGGGAGTGTTGAGAATAGCGATGTGCAATCGCCGGGGCGTATCGTGAAGATGTCATTTGTAAGTAATCTTCTCGTTTCTCTCCGCGGTATATGCGGCCGGTGCTTGTCGCGACGTGTCGCGCCGATATCCCTTAAGCCCGTATCAGACTATAGATTAGGATTGAAATTAAATTGAAATTTAGCCAATCAGAGCAAAATTCACTAAGCTCAAGTTCGGTGAACTTTGCTCTGATTGGCCAATTTTCAATTCAATCTCAATTTTAATCCGTAGTCTGATACGGGCTTTACATTTGCTAATAACATCGACTCGCTCAAGTAGCAATAGAATCGGACGATCGTCGGATTTATTGAACGGTAATTAGAAATGCGGTGACAGTCAGAGAGAAAGAGAGAGAGAGAGATGCGGAATATTCGGGCGGTTGCGTCAGTAGGAAAACAAGTAGCTTGTTAGGAAAAGAGATACGGAGAGAGAAGTATCTCATAGATAGCGTTCTTTTCGCTCGCGGCGCCGTTCATATATTGGCGTATATTTTCAGCGCGATTCAACAATCTTGACCATTTTGATTCTCGATTTTTCTACATCGAGCAACCGCCGTGGACACATTGATCGACAATACTATCGTATACGCATTCTAGAATTCTATCGTATACGATAGAATATTATTTACATTTGTAAATTCACGAACCATAATCCATATTCAAAACGATAAAAAATGATAAAGCGATAGAATTTTATTCTATCGTTCTCTATCAACTTTTATTACCAGGGCTACAAATGACGTCTTCACGATACGCAAATCTCTATTCTCGAAGTATCTTCCAATACTTAATTCCGCACGAGACTTACTTTCGACGAGTTAAAGACGCGTAAAATGCGGAGCAATGTCGATTGATGTGTCCACGGCGGTTGCTCGATGTAGAAAAATCGAGAATCAAGATGTTCGCGCGATTGTTGAATCGCGCTGAAAATATACGCCAATATATGAACGGCGCCGCGGCCGAAAAGAACGCATTTTCTCTCCAACTTTTTTAACTTGTGTTTTCTTCTAATTCTATCACGTTAATTTTACGATAATTTATTGATTTTTAAGACAAAAAGAAAGAATTTGGATTACTTTACAAATTTGTTCGATTGATTACAAGAATCATTTTGTAAATGTATTTTATTTCAACACATTTTGTAAGAATTTTTGGTGAGAATATTTTCTTGCTTCTTACTTCATAAATAAAGATTACGGCCAGAAAACAGAAACTTTAAGGGAGCAAAACTTTGTAAGGCTAAAAAAACAACGATATTCGAGAATTTATTTCTCGCAAAACAACTGCTGGATGAATATGTTTGATTTTTATATAGGAGATGAAGTAATATTTCCATTTAAAATAAAAAAAATTTCCATTTTTTGTGCGGAAATGACGTTACAGCATCTATTACGCTACAAACTTGCAGCTGTTGCACGCCTCCCTCGTTCGCATAATTTATGTTACCATAATTCTCTTAATAAAAAAAAAACAAAATGAGAAAGATTTCTTCTAAAATGGAAATGTAGTTTTTATAATTTCTCGGGAATTTTTACTTTCAAGCAATTATATTTTTCGGCTTATTTTAAAGAAGAAATTTAAAATTCTTGTTAAAATTCGCTCTTCTATTTTATTTTATAAAGAGACAATAAAACAAAAATAAGAATTCTACGACTTGGAAAACTATAACTACAATACAATTTTATAAGAAACTTTTTCATTTTCTTTATTGGATTATTGTACATAAACGTAAGTCGTGCAAACTAGGAAGGCTGCAAACTTGGAGCAGCAATTAATGTTGTATGTGTGTGTGAAAAATAAATAATTGAATACACAATAATATTTATATCACAATAATTTTTAATGTTTTATCAATATCAGACTCTGAATTTATGCAAATAATAATTGATATGTTGTTTTATATTTTATAGCTTTTTTATTATTATATTATTTATTTATGCATAACTTTTTGTAAAAAATAAATAAATTGATGTCCTTTCGCGACTTTTAATGCAAAAAGTCTTTTATATGAATAGATAAGGAAAAAAGTCGATTTGCAAAAAAAGATTATTATACGATTTCGGAAATCGCTATAGTGATGAAGATCTTATATTTCTTATCAATTTACTTTTTGATATATACAAAAAGTTTTAGTTCTAAGACAATAAATGTCAACCAAAAAACCGCTTGAACTGTAAGAGTTAAACTCTTTCATTGCCCTTTTTGTGTTTTTGAGAGTTAATAATAATTTGAGATTATTAATAATTTGAGATTATTAATAATTTGAGAGTTAATAATAATTTGAGTTAATAATAATTGTAATTTGAGAGTTACATCTTGTTATATAATGTTATATCCCGAGATTTTCCATTGATCCTTCAAATGCGATAGAATTTATAGGGTTAATGTGGAAGCAAAGTTTCGAACCAGATTAAAATGCAATGAGATCTTTCATGAATTTGTGGTTTTTTTCTGAGTACGAGCTAAGAATGCAAACAATCACATAAATTCATCTCGAGGAGTGCAGGGAGCTCCCCTGCTAAGTAATATAACATCTACTCACAGTTCGTCTCCACAAAATCACTCGGTAATGTGGCACGCATTGATCACCAACCTCGCTCGTGACTACCGAGAGAAAGACGGGGTTCCTCTCTTGATCAGAGGCGATGTAATTTTGATGCACTGCGCACAGATAATCAGCAATCAGTTTTCACCTGTTACTGCTCAATTGCACCTGTACACCGTCCTCATTTACAATTCGCGATTATTATAATTAAATCATCAAACGCGAGCAATTGCTACCAGATAAAATGAAGCCCGCGCTTCAATGCGTTAATTGCTACGAGAAAGAGAGGGAAAGAGGAAAGAAGGGAGGGACGTTATTTTATTTCACGGAAAACGGTACTTTATGCATAAATTTTCCCGTTGAACGGCAGAGTGATTAATTCGGTCGAGCGAGTGAAGGAGGTAAATCGATTTGCATAAATCGTAATCGGATTTTTCATCCTATTTCCGCGATATTACACAATTATACGAGAGAGAGAGAGAGAGAGAGAGAGAGAGAGAGAGAGAGAGAGAGAGAG